GATTTTTGCATTTATATTCTTAAAATGTATTGATAATAGTTTTCTTTTGATGTCTTTGTCTGGTTTTAGTGTCAGGGTGTCAAAGAATGAGCTAGGTAGTGTTTCTTCCATGCCTATTTTTTGAAGAGTTAATGAAGGATTGGTGTTAACTCTTCTTTAAATTGTGGTGGAATTGGCCAGTGAAGCCATCTGTTTCTAGAGTTTTCTTTGAAGAAAGTTTTTTCATTATTAATTCAGTCTCTTTACTTATAATAAGTATGTTCAGATTTTTCTGTTTCTTTTTGAGTTGGTCTTGGTGGTTTTTCTAGGGAATTGTCCATTTTAACTAGGTTGTCTAATTTATTAGCATATAGTTGTTCATCGTATTCCCTTATAATCCTTTTTATTTTTGTTAAGGTTGGTAGTAATGTTCTCTATTTCCTGATTTTAATTTGAGACTCTCTCTCTTTCTCTCTCTCTCTGTCTCTCTGTATCTTTCTGTTTTTTGTCTTTTTGGTTAGACTACCTACATGTGTTTCAGGTTTTTTAATCTTTTCAAAGAACCAACTTTTGATTTTGTTGAGTTTTCCTTATTTTTTTTCTATTCTCTATCACTTCCTGTTTGTGCAGAGCCTCAAGATTAGCCAGAGGTAAGAGCTTAGGGCTTTTTCTGTTCTATCATGAGCATGCATGCAGCTCTGGGCAGGCATGAAGCCATATCATGCACTTTGCCTTCTAGATTCCCAGGAATAAGTTAGAGTGTTCCAAAGCCCCTTTTGGATATCCCATTCCCCAGCTTTTTATTTTAACCCTTTATTAGCCTATTGTTTGGCCCAGTTGTTATCCCCTGCCTCAGACAGATGCATGTTCAACAACTGCTTCTGATTTTTTCAAGGAACATTTTTTCAAGGAAAGGCTGTTTGCCTTGGGTGAGCTCTGTGTCAGGTCAAATAAAGACAGCCTTATGATTGCTTGTCTGTGCACTTAGTATGATTTAAAACCATGCGGTTTTCCAGGGAAGGACCAGACGGGTCAAATAATGACAGATCTCTGGGAATGGGACTTTGAAGGCACTCCAGCCCCATTCTGTTCCCTCTCATGGCTGCTAGGTGCTGCTTTTCAACATGATTGCTGAGTGTTGGTTTTTCAGGCTTCTGTAAAGCCGAGGAGGAATGGGACTTGGACGATTCAAAATGCCACAGAGCTCACTGCTTTCACTGAGATTCAGCCATTTCATTAAGTAAAGGCTTCCTGAATCGCTGTAAGCTTTTGGTGCATTTTCAGAGTTCTAAAAAATTATTTTGATGATTTTTGCGAGTGTTCTTGTTGCTTTTATAGAGGAAAGCATTTTCGGAGAGCCTTACTCTGCCATTTTCACTGATGCTCCTCCCATTATGGCTTCTTGAACAGGAAAATGATGGAGTAAAAACTGAACTTGAAGTCAAATATTGTACCAGATCTGACAAAGTATTGACATACTTAATATACAAACCTATAAGAAAAGTGTTGAATTATAAAAATGAACAATGGGAGCTTCCCTGGTGGTGCAGTGGTTGAGAGTCTGCCCGCCAATGCAGGGGACGCGGGTTTGTGCCCCGGTTCGGGGGGATCCCACATGCCGCGGAGCGCCTGGTCCCGTCAGCCATGGCTGCTGAGCCTGCGCGTCCAGAGCCTGTGCTCCGCAATGGGAGAGGCCACAACAGTGAGAGGCCTGCGTACCGCAAAAAAAAAAAAAAAGAACAATGGACGTGAAAAGATGAATCACAGAAAAAAATACAGATTGATAATAAAGTTTAGAAAAGGAAGTTCAATATCAAAGAAACTCAAATTCAAACCATGAGGTACCATTTTCACCATCAAATCAGCAAAGGCAATTTTAATTATTACAATTCTTAGTATTGGCAAAGGAGCAGTGAAGTAAACATTCAAATGGTCAGAAAAACAAATTGGTACAGTCAATTTCTGGAATACAACTTGGCAGTAATATCAAGTCATTTAATAATAATATTCAGGGGAACCTCTTAGTTGTGCATGGAGAAAGAACGATTTAAAAATGGGTGATGTTGAGAAGGGCAAGAAGATTTTTGTTCAGAAGTGTGCCCAGTGCCATACTGTGGAAAAGGGAGGCAAGCACAAGACTGGGCCAAATCTCCATGGTCTGTTTGGGTGAAAGACAGGTCAGACTTTCAGATTCTCTTACACAGATGCCAACAAGAACAAAGGCATCACCTGGGGAGAGGAGATGCTGATGGAGTATTTGGGAAATCCCAAGAAGTACATCCCTGGAACAAAAATGAACTTCACTGGTTTTAAGAAGAAGGGAGAAAGGGCAGACTTGATAGCTTATCTCAAAAAAGCTACTAATGAGTAATAGTTGGCCACTGCCATATTTATTACAAAACAAATGTCTCATGATTTTTTATGTGTACCATATTTAACTTGATCTCATACACTGCAATTCAGATCATGAATGGCTGAGGTAATATTTCTGTCCGGATTTAAATAAGATTGGTTTGTGGCTAAAAGAATATGATCAGCTTGGACTTCCCTGGAGGCACAGTGGTTAAGAATCTGCCTGCCAAGGCAGGGGACACGGGTTCGAGCCCTGATCCGGGAAGATCCCACATGCTGTGGAGCAACTAAGCCCATGTGCCACAACTACTGAGCCTGCTCTTTAGAGCCCGCTAGCCACAACTACTGAAGCCCGCACGCCTAGAGCCTGTGCTCCACAATGAGAAGCCACCACAATGAGAAGCCCGCGCACCGCAACGAAGAGCAGCCCCTGCTCGCCGCAACTAGAGAGAGCCCAGGCGC